AGAAAATTTCTTTAAATGCAGCTTTCTTTTTTAGTATCTCTGTAGCCAAAGGATTCTCAAACCACCCTCTTAAAAGTATAGACCAGTTTTTGTGATACACTCACCCCCCCCCCCGCATTGGATTGGGATTAGGGTTGGGCAAGAAATAAATGTGCTACTTTTAATATTTACATTTTAATACAGATAGCAATAAGACAATGACAACCTTGCAATTTTATAAAATAAAACTTGTTCAGTGGCGTTCATCGGTTTTAAAACTATGTGGTTTTTTTATGCAAACTATGATCTAGCTATCTGGGTTTTAGTTTTGAAATAGCTCGTTTCTCCTTCCACATTCATGTTGGAATGAAATATTTTGCTCTTTATAGTAGCATCTTAGAAAACCCTGACTTCATTGGTGGCTTGCCGGGCAGAGTGGGAACAAGTTTTAACTGCAATCCAGCTTTGGGCAAGTGTGTTGTGAGGTTCACACAAGCAACATTGGAGTTCTGTTAGAACTCTCAGGCTTTATTTGGACAAGGCAGCAGAAAGAGGAGAAGGGAATTCGGGCAGCAATCTTGCTTTCCATGCACCCCGTTCTCCCTGCCTCCACTGTGGCAACCTCTCTTAGATTTGCTCACAAACCCTTGTTCGAGAACTCCTGCTGTAACTCAGTGCTTAACAGTACACAAAGTTTACTTGTCACAACAGATAGCATCAAGTTAATGTTGGCTTTTGTCAAATAGCTAAGCAGAGGTGGACCTGGTTCTTGGATGGGACACCACTAGTAAATCCAGGGCTGTAAGCCAGACTGGAAAGACCAAGTATCTTAGAAGGCAACAGCCAACCATTTCCATGTTGTTGCTGAGAAAGCTTGGCACGTTCATCTGACCTTCAAGAGCTGAGCTCAACTCAAGGGGGTCTTTAGCTTTAAATCCCACCTGGCGTCATCTGGATAGGTTGGAAGGACAACTCTCACCATAGGGCTTCTCTAACCCATAGCATAACCATCATCATGGCATTAGATGGGTTGGTTTAGGATTGAAATAGAATTCCTAGCGGAAGCTGCACTCCCAGTGAGAGATACTCCTAACCCAAAACAGCTTTTTCTAACCAGATACATGAGGACTGGAATATTTCTCACACAGTTTTTTTCCCTTTTTCTTGGGGTGATGGGGGGAGTTGCTAGGTTGGCCAAAGTGCTTTCTTCTTTCCTAAGGGGTTCGGGCAGCCCCCTTGGGCACTGCGCCTTCCATGGGTAAGGCAGCTGAGTCTTCCAGCCAACACCTGCTTGGCAATTCTGTTGATCTCTGAAGGACAGATGTCAAATCAGCCAAGAGGGAAGCCAGCACACCGCGCAGAGCTGCAAGGCCACACGGGTGACTGCAGAAGCATCCATCTACGCCGGAATGTCCCCCTCTTCTCTTGCCCACCATCACTCCCCTCCCACAGTCAATACTTCTCTCTCTCCGATGGGAAAGTTAATAAATTTAGCTCTAGATTAAAAGTATTGATCATTTCATTTGTAAATGATATATAAATTGGGGACTACTTGGGCAACCAGGAAGGCAAGGGCTGGCTGAAGCTGCCACTGGGTGGGGGGGGATGAGGGCCCCCTTATCTGCATTCCACCCTGCTGCAAGCATTGATTTCCTATTAGTCTCCTTGCACCACCCAATAGCACATCATTCCAGGATCTGCTATTAATGGCCTTTTGATAAATAATCACTTGTAAGTCAATAAATTTTTATTAAAAAGTGGGGTGCTTTGATTTATGAAAATCCGACAGGGTTTGTCTGGGAGAAAAGGGATGTGGAATTGAAGTGGAGGAACCATCCATCCAGCTGCCAGCGTTCCCCCCCTCTACACACACGCACACACTCCACATCCCCTTTTACCATCTGCTTGACTCTCGCTGCCCACAACGTGATCCAAGCTGCTTCCCAGCCAAAGTTACAGCCGAGTTAAACTTTGCCTCAAGTTCAAACCCTGCAGATCAAGCAAGTGACGCTTAGCAGGTGGACGGAAAGTTGAGCGCAGTTTCAAAAGTAAGCTGGAATTAAGAAGATGCCTTCATGGAAACATCACTCATTCTCTGTGTTGGTGTATTAGAGGCTGCGATCAAACCTCATGCTAAGCTGTGGTTTCCTTGATCACATTTTATTGAATAAACCACAATCGGCTGGGAGTGGCTGAGTTCACACCTCAAGTGAAACTGAAACCCAATGGGCTGATTTTGTCCCTAGTGAAGAGCACCCAAGGGAGGCCTTTTGTAAAGTGGGTATTTTGTGACTGGCCAAGCCCACCGTGTCAACCACTTTATGAACCTCAGCCACCAGGAGGCACCACAGGACCAGATTCATCCTCTTTGGGACTTGTCAGACTGTGTAGCCAGATGTTATTTTATGGGGTTCAATCCCCCTACCAGCACTATTTAGCTCCTGGTACTGAGCAGTTGCAGGAAAGAATATAGAAAATAGACCTGAATGGTATATACATATGTTATATTATGTCATGTCCCCCATGTATAGGGTTTTACGGGACTTCCATGTACACGGGAGCATGACATAATGTCACATCTGTATCTCTGCTCTGAAAGCTTAAAGGAAGGTGGAATGTATATGCCTTTCTAACAGAAACTTTATAAACAACCTTGTGTGAATGAGTACACCACAGAGTTGAAATTCCAAATTTTCTTTCCTAAAAGATGTTTCAATAAAAATGTATTGCTGTCAAGCAACCTTCATTGTTGCTTGGGGCCCATGAAAACGATTCACCTACTTATTTCTTCCAATCGTACCATGACTATTGTACAGTTACATCGTTGACTCCTTTTTCCCAACAGTGGGGGGAAATTATTTCTTTCATTTTCAGATGGCTTTAAATGGAAAGGTTTTAAAATTATTATTTGGTAGGTTTCTGCTCAGTCTCTGTTAGTGCTTCTGTGTAATAATTTGCAGTGGTCTTAAAGGACACTCTAATTGCTTCTGACTATTAAATCCCTGAATATTGTAATTTGGATTTAAATTCTGTTATACTAATAGGTTGCTATTAATTGCTATAGATCGGTTGTGGCTACCTCTTGACGTTTTTGACCCCCCCCCCGGTGAACACCACTGAGTGCCCTCAAGGGGAGGTCAAAAAAGTCAAGATGGCACCCATGACCACGCAGTCTGAGTTCTCTCCCTTTTTGACATTGCATGTAAAAAACACCAGCAATTCAATCACATGATTGTGCCTGCCATCTTGACTTTTCTGACCGCCGGTGGGCCCTCATGGAGCTGGTCTTCTTCCACACATTCTTCACAGGTTTCTAGCCTGTGCACAGGCAGCAAGGAAGATGTTTCCCACTCTGTTGGATTCCCCTGTCTTTTTCTCTCCCGTTTTGGAGGACGCGAAAGAGCCTTGAGACGGGCATGAACTCCTGGGAAAAGGAATAGGGTTCACTTGCCCTGGGTTTGTTCATTTCTTTGCAGATCCTGGAGGGAAGTTTGGCCAAAGCCAGCTTTTCCCCCACGGCACAGCGGACGTAGGAGCCCAACAGGGCCCGCCAGCCCTTCCAATGCCCATTTGTCATTCTCTCTGGCGGAGCGAGGCCTTTTGCCACCTGCTGTATTTTTCTTCCTGTGCTGACGGCATGGCAGACAGGTGTTAAACTACTTAATCACTTTAAAATTGTTTTAATTTTCTGTTTTGTATTGATCTCTCCTGCGCCAATTAATCAGCTCACTGGACCAGGCAGTTAGTACATTAAAAATT